GAGCCTTCTCTTCTCCAGGCTGAACAGCCCCAACTCTCCCAGCCTGTCTCCATGGCAGAGGTGCTCCAGCCCTCGGAGCATCTTCGTGGCCTCCTCTGGACTGAGAGACTGCTCTCAGGATGGATGGATGTTCACTGGGGGAAGTTTTACTTGTGAAATCTGTAATTGCCACAATCAGTTGCATGAACTGGGGCTTTTCCAGCCTGTGCTGTCACCTTCCTATCCACTGGCAGGGCCCGCTTCCTTCTTGGCTCCTCGGTGAAGAGTGATCTTGTTTTATTTAGGATTTTGGATCTGAATGGTGGGACTCCTCCGTTAACGTACAAGAGGTTCCTTCACATTCTCTCTCTGCTCGGCGACCCTGAGGTGCCTGTCCGAAACCTTATGGTTGAAGACTTCCAGTAAGTAACAGCCAGAGTGCAGGAAAGGGCAGGGCCTTTTTCTCTGCCCCAAAGAAGAGCCAGGGCCAGAACGAGGTGTTCTGGATGTTCCGCCGCGTGACTCCTGTGCACGGAGGGTTGTCCGCTGTACGCAGAGGGGATGGGATCCTGCGGCCCGGAAGGGAGAGCAGATGAGAGGGGGCACAGTCCCCTTAAGCTTTTGCAGGACACGTTGAGACAGACTTTTAAAGTACGTAAAAGTTTACCAGAGGAATGACTAAGGAATTTCAGTCCTCTTTCTCAAAGGCGTGCTCTAGCTTCCTCACAAATCCCGATTCAAGGCAGGAATTGGATGACCCACTATAGTTTGTTTTGTGCAGGAAGTTTGGTGGAATAATCATACTGTTCCCTTCTGCCTTTAAATCTGTTCTCTCCTCCCCTGTGCCGTATGGGAAGGAGGGACCGAGCTCTTGTCTCCCAGGACTTGAGAAGAAGCTCAGAGTCAAGGATGACTCATGTTTAGGTCTGCATGAGGAGAGGTCAGTGATCCAAAGGGAGGTAAGACTGGGGTAGGAGAGAGCTGGCCACTGGGGATGGGGCTGCAGGTACTGGGGACTTCGATGTCAGGCACCTCCTGCGGTACCTCGGTTCTGCATCGGTAACCGAGGCTTAGGGCTTCCCACCTCGGGGAATTCCTGGATGTTGTTCTCTGATAATCCCATGATAAGACCCATGTAAGTATTGGGATAAATCAGTTCCTATATTTTTTCTTGCGCTCTTTCCCCCATTCCTCCTTTTTTTTCCCTAATTTGTTTATTTGCGCTTTTTAAATTAACGATGATGAGAGACCAGTGGTTCACATGCTTCCCAGCAGCCACTGTTGTGCCAGTGCTCTGAGAGCTGCACTGGCCCCTTCTGTAGGTGTCTGCCACAGAGCTGAGCTCGGTTTTTCCAGGTAAGCAGAAAGATCTCTATTGATCTCGGAGTCAATTCATGGATTTCGACAAGTCTGCATACCACTGGCACTTCCCTCAGCCTCCTCTTCTGTGTTTCACCCTCGTGCTCTCCCAGCTTCACTGGGCTGCTGGGGAAGCCTCAGCAGCTGAGGCTGCAGAAGAGACGTGGGGACACTGCTCGGAGGTGTGGGCTTGGGGACCCCCCACCTTGGTTAGGAAGGAGCAGCGGAGGAGGCAGCCCAGGGAGCTGATCTGCCTCCTTCTCCGTGAAACCTCTTCCAGAGCAACCTCTCCCCAGAGGCACAGGGGCTGGAGCGGCCTTTGGGGCAGCCCCAGTGCCCCGTAGTAACGTTTAGAGTCTGAGGATGCTCTTAGCTCTCTCCCAGGGGTGGATGAGACAGCTGGGGGAAGCTGGAGAGGAGGTGCCTCCGAGCCCTACGTAGCGGGTGGGAACCGAGAGGGGTGTCTGAGCTGTTGGGGGCTGCAGCCAACTGCTCAGAGTCCTGTAGTTTGGTGGATCTGTTCCTCTTTCCCCAGTTCAGGCTAGAGCTACCCAGAGCCTGGGGTTTCTGCCCCTGCTTTCGTTCCCCTGTGCTCTGGCTGTGCCGCAACAGAGGAGATCCTGGCATGTGCGATGGGCAGGGGTCTTCCTCCCTCTTCGGCCTCCGGTTCCCCCTTTGAAAGAAGCGTTTCTTTCCCATTAGGAAGTGTAGGGCCCCTGACCCGGGCTTGGCTGAGTGTTACAGGGTGCCTCTCCCCGTGGATTTGAAGATACCACTGGAGAGCTTCTCTCCCTGGAGAGGAGGGGAGACCGAAGGGCTACAGCGCCTGGAGCAACACTTGACTGACCAGGTCAGCCTTGATTTTATGTGGGTGATGCTGGTGGCTCTGGGTTGGGCTGAGGTTGGTGTCCACCTCGCTCCTTTCATGTGTGGTTATGTCTGGACCTTGAGAAGCTGCTCAGCCGTGGAGTCGTGTTCCAGCTCTCGCTGGGTTTTCCCCACCTTGGTGCTGGCTGCTCCCAGTTTCAGAAAGTGGAAAAGATCTTCAGAGCGGTGCTGTTGGGCTGAGCGAGCTGTTCCCCGGGTTACAAAATCACTCAGCTCTCTGGGAAGAGGGTGGGATGTGGCCTTGATGTTGGGCTTGGAGGGACGTCTGTGTATTTGGAGATCTTGGAGGAGGATGGCAGCCTGGTCTGGAGATTCTGTTGTCCTTGACGGTGGCATTTGTGGGACAGTGGGCGGTGGGAGGATTTTCCAGGCGTGACATTGAACAGACCTCTGTGATGCAGAAGCCAATTGCCGAGAGTTTTCTCCCTGTTTCATTAGCCGGACACGTGTCACCTTGTACTGCCTGAACCTGGATTTCTGTTTTCGTTTTAGGGCTGGGTGGCAAGTTTTACCAAACCAAGAACAATCCCAAATTCGCTGCTTCCAAGCACCACAGGCCTGAGCCCATATTTCAGTCTGGGCTGTCTGTCAGTCCGTACCTTTTTTTATAGGTTGTCAAACATTTATGCTCAGGTAAGAAAATAATTGGCCACAGTTAAGCAAATCCAGCACTCTCACGTGTCTGGCATGTCAGGCCAGGATTTACCACTTGGATCATCGTGGTAGAGACCTGGTGCATCAAAAAATGCTACTTTGCTGATGTCTTCTCGCAGCGTCCGATGAAATCTGTGAGTGGCTTTATGTGTTGTGTGAAATATCTGCGAATGTATCCAGCTTTTCCCAATTGCATTTTGGAAATACGCTAAATGGGGAGCAACGAGACCATGAAGCAGCAGGGAAGCCCAGGAAAACCCTCCTAAAATTCACGGAGTTCGAGTCATCTGCCTGATGTTTAAGTGAAGTTTTTAATCAGTGTAGCTTGTTCAAGCAGTTTTGGTTTTAGAAAACATCTGTTCTCATCTTAGACAAGTTTTAACTATAGCATAAGCCAAAACTGGCTTCTGATTGAATCAAGAAGAATCAAGAATCAAACTTGTTTGATTCTTAAGAAAAAGTATGGTTGAAGCCAACCCAAGAAAACCAAGGTCTCCCTGAACCTCCTTCTTCAGAGTATCTGTTGGGACATGGCTGAGCCACCTGAATTCAGCTAGCCAAGCAGTTAATACGTTAATAAACGCGTGTTTGATTTAAGAAATCCCAGTGTTGACACCATTTTGGAAGGTAGATGGAGAATGTTTGAGGTGGCACTGAGGTCCAACAGAGTTTAGCTTTGCTTTCGGGCATATAGCATCGCTTCAGATTTTGGTTTCTTTGGCTTTCATGGTAAAGTGCCACGAAGCCAGTAGTGTAGTTAGAGGGGAGATTTTGATGGGATCTAAGGAAGAAATTCTTCCCTCCGAGGGTGCTGAGGCACTGGCACAGGTTGCCCAGAGAAGCTGTGGCTGCCCCATCCCTGGCAGTGTTCCAGGCCAGGTTGGATGAGGCTTTGGGCAACCTGGTGTAGTGGAGGGTGTCCCTGCCCATGGCAGGGGGTTGGAACTGGATGATCTTTGAGGTCCCTTCCAACCCAAACCCTTCTGTGATTCTATGATTCTATATGAACCGAAGCTTTCACCTCGTGTCTTTGCAGGCCAAGCATCACTCTCTGCCCCCGGTGTCGCTCCAAGGGCAGCTTCTGTGGAGAGAATTCTTCTATACCGTGGCATCAGCAACACCAAACTTCACCCAAATGGCTGGGAACCCCATCTGCCTTCAGATCAGTTGGTACGAGGATGCAGAGAGGCTCCACAAATGGAAAACGGTAACGGGAGGCGTTGCCACAACTGCTGCGTTTCAGTTTAGAGCTTTTTGGTTGCCCTGGGATTGTTCCTTGCCGGCTCTGTGCGGTGGGGCTTGGAGCAGCGCGCAGGAAAGAATCATAGAATCATAGAATGGTTAGGGCTGGAAGGGACCTTCAAAGGTCATCTAGTCCAACCCCCCTGCAAGGAACAGGGATATCTCCAACTAGATCAGGTTGCTCAGGGCCTCGTCCAACCTGGCCTTGAACGTCTCCAGGGATGGAGCATCCACCACCTCTCTGGGCAACCTGTTCCAGTGTTCTACAACTCTCATGGTAAAAAATTTTTTCCTAATATCCAACCTGAATCTACCTCCCTCTATTTTAAAACCATTACCCCTTGTCCTATCACAACTGGCCCTCCTGAACAGCCTCTCCCCATCTTTCTTGTAGGCCCCCTTGAGGTACTGGAAGACCGCTATAAGGTCACCCCGGAGCCTCCTCTTCTCCAGGCTGCACAGCCCCAACTCTTTCAGCCTGTCCTCCTAGGAAAGAGGTGCCATAAAGCTCCGTGCGGGACGGCTGACGCTTCTTTCCCGCGGCAGGCACAGACGGGCTTCCCGTGGATCGACGCCATCATGACCCAGCTGCGCCAGGAAGGCTGGATCCATCACCTCGCTCGGCACGCCGTCGCCTGCTTCCTGACGCGGGGGGACCTTTGGATCAGCTGGGAAGAGGGCATGAAGGTTCTCTTCGGGTTTTTTGTTGTCTCTGTTCTGGCTGAGCTGGAGAGACCTCGCAGAACGTGAGGCGGGCAGTGGGAGGTGGTACTGGCGGGCAGTGGGAGGTGGTACTGGCGGGCAGTGGGAGGCGGTACTGGCAGGCAGTGGGAGGTGTGGTACTGGCAGGCAGTGG